TCACTCCCCTATATTCAGGGGATGTAAAACACGTTTGCAGGTACGGTCCACAAATACTTGTGCGCACTAATAATAATAATCCTTGCATTTAATATAGTGTCTTATCACATTGTTGAGATGTCTCAAAGAGCTTCACAGAATATACTGTAAGTGGATTGACTGTATTTTTTAGATAAAAGCGGCAGTCAAATTGCGCAGCAGTGTCCCACAAACATTCGTGGATTGAGTGACAAATTATTATTTTTTTTTTGAAGGGATTATTACCTGCGGAAAAGCGATCCACCAATCATCTAACAACTGAGTTCATACTAACTGCTATGTAAACAGAGGCGAGTGTGGTAAGGAAACTTACCTAAGATACAAATGTAATTTTGTTGTTGTTGTAAGATGAATAGGAACTTAGCGCAGAAAGAGGCCATTCGACTCATCATTTTAAACAGATCACATCAGATCCTTTCATCGCATAGCCCTATAGCTCTCATATCCTTGTTTACCAAGTATCTATCAGGATCTCATATCTGTTCCTCTTTAAACATCTCATTTGGTTGAGCACCTGTGGTCTTCTGGAACATTGCATTCCCAACCTTTTGTTGTGATGAATCGTTTTTTCATTCACTTTCAAACAGTTTAGCTCCACTTGAAGTATAGTATGTCCTGTTTTTCGTTGCCTCCCAGAAGAGTCATTCCCTATCTATTACACCAATCTCCTTAGTTTTAAGGCTCTTAAGTCTATCAACCATTAACCTCCTTAGATCTCAGAAATATAACCCGACTGCACCCAAACTCTCATTACAATGAAGTCCCTTCATCCCAGGTATTGAATTCTGGTTGTTTTGACTTGAAATATCTCAAAAAATGGATAACCAAATTCAATGTAATATGCTAAATGAGACCTAATCAGCAATCTGTATAATGGCAATTAAGAACTTGTTTCATATACAGTACATTCTAGACAATTCATGAGGAAGGTTAGCAGGGTAAAAGAATACTTTTTTAAAAAATGTTTCTTTGACCTGTTCTTTTCTCCCAGTGTAATCCTTTCTACCAGTTCCTTTCTCCATCACTTAAGTCATTCGACACCCACTTAGGAGTCAAAGGTATCATCAACAGGAGGAAAATGAACAGGCACCAACTCCTCCAACAGAATAAGGGTGGATATGTAAACTGCAGCCTTTCGGAGAGGCGGGCTGGCAGAGAGCTGAACTTAATAATTACATAATCCTTGCATTTGATAAAAGTGCATCACAGAACATATTGCAAAGTGGATTGATTGTATTTTGTGGCCGAAACGCAGTAGCCAATTGCGCACAGCAGAATCCTACCAACAGTTGGAGATTGAGTGACCCTATTTTTTATTTGAAGGATTATTACCCCCGGAAAGCATTCCGTCAATCGCTAACTACCAGGTTCCTACTTGCTGCAAGGTAAATAGAGGCGTGTGGAGTAAGGAAACTTGCCTAAGGTTTAATTCTGCCCAGCAATCGAACACGGATCCTCTCGCTTGAGAGGCGAGTGCTCTAACCACTACGCTATGGGACTCCAGATATAGCTTTACAGAGGTTCATCCTGTGAATACTGTACTCAGAAGTTCTGGCAGCAGTAGAGCTAATGGAGGGATGTGTATGAACGCATGATGGTGATGATGGGTGTCCTATAAACAATGTTGACTTATCTCATTTAAAACAGGACCTGGCTCTGCTAATAATTGCATTAAAGGTTATTCCTAAGCACTAGAGGGAATCCCACAGCTTCTACAGAGAAGGACTGGAGAGCTTTAATAGCAGAAGCAATGACCTGTGAGTGTGTTGCTGCAGCCATAGGGAGTTTCAAACCTCTTCTTACATTATGTGAATAAGCAATCTGCTTGCCAAATGCATTGGTCCCTTTGATTTCCATCACTTCAAAAGTTCCTAAGGAAACATTCTGTAAAATACGGAGAGAGGAGGGGCAGTGCAATGGGATTAGAGTAGATAGTACAACAACAGCATTGTGCCATTCACACTTGGTAGCATCTCGGAGCACTTAAATATCAGTGAGGGGGCTAGCACCAGCACAAACATGATGGAGAGAGCAGGAAAATGGGACTTTAGTGGAGAATGAGTAGCAGTAGTCACAATGGTTTTTGTAAAGGATTTACTGGATGGGAATAGAGCCTTGGCAACGGAAACATAACGCGTACACCTATAAGCAAACAGAGAACTGAATGTATCCTGCTATAGGCAACAGCACAGAAGCAAGCCTGTTAAAAACCTCTTCCTGAAGTTTAATAGATCTGAATTGGTTCCAGTACTCCTAACTAGGCTTCTCTTCACTGAATCTGGGCTCACAGGATTACCATCTTTGGTCATTGCTTTATTTTAGAAATTCAGCTTAATTACTTTTAAGCATTTATTACATCATAGCGGCTAAGAAACTGGGAAAATAATGGAAACAAAATACATTAATAAACATCCTCCAAGTGCTCCCAAGTGCTTTTTCAACCTGATTCTCCCCGAACAACAAAGCAATTTACAATGAAAAATGCACAGATAGACATGAATGTGTTTTCTTTTCCAATTAATCTATCTTTCCTCCTAAAGACCTTTTCCAGCCCTTGTGCTGAACATTAATTTACACCGTCAAGAAAAATAATTTCACATTCTGCAGAAAATCACAAATACTGCAGAGTTGAGAGAAAGGAATAAGCAAGGCGCTACTAATTCTCGTGTGATGACGGCCTACAAATTTAAGCTGAACAAAATAAATCAATTGTAGAACGGATCAACACTAATCCCATCAGGCGAAGGAATTAATACCACAGAGGGTTTTGGCCTCCTCTATGTTAGCACCAGTCAGATTACTTTGTAGAGTAAAGTGCACACCTGCCTGTTCTTTTTGCTGGTTGTTTCAATAGAAGTACACACCTTACAAAAACTTCAAAACAGCAGGGGAGTTTTAGGTGAATTGTAGTTTATGAATAATAATAATAATTCTTGCATTTGATATAACGGCTTTTGTCTTCGAGACGTCTCAAAGCGCTTCACAGAATATACCGTGAAGTGAATTGACTGTATATTTTGTGGGCGAAACATGGCAGCCAATTGGACTCAGCAGTATCCAACAAACAGTCGTGGTTGCTAGTGCAAAGGAGGCCAGCGAGGGATGCATTAGAGAAATCCAGCCAAGAAGTGAAAACAACAACAATTTGCATTTATATAGTATCCTTCCCGCAAGGCAGCATCTCAGAGCACTTAACTGTAACAGAGCCTGACGCCGAGCTGGGGGGAGGGAGGAGGTGACCATAAACATGGTCGAAGAGGAAGGTCTTCAGTCGTGATCTAAAAGAGGGGAAGGAGAGGGCAAGGCGGAGGGATTGAGTCAGAGAGTTCCAAAGGAAAAGAGGGCTAAGACGTGGGTAAGGGTTTCATCAGCATGTAGAGCCAGTTAGGTGATGTGGTAGAGGTATAGAAAAGCAGTCTTGGTCAGAGACCAGATCTGAGGGAGAAAGGAGAGATAAGGATTGATCTGCACGTCAAGGTTGTGCAATGGTGCGGTGAATTTGACAGACAGGTTGGGGAGATTGAAGAGGTCAGAGTCAGAAGTGAAGAGAGGTTGATGGGAGCTGAGAAGGATGGCTACCATCTTATCTATGTTTAGTTGCAGGAAATTTCAGCTCATCCAGGCCCGATGTCTGTCAGGCAAGGAAACACAACATCAGTTGCCTTGAATGAAGAATGTAAGTAGAGACATAGATTTTGCGGATCCCTGCATAGATGTGGAAGCCAGCTCCATGTCTGGAGATGACATTGCCAAGAGAGAGCATGTAGACGAGGAAGAAGAGGGGCCAAGGATCCACAGGCTTGACTGCCTCTTCATTCCAACAGAAGATAACATTTGGTTGATTGCATAAAACCAGAGCGGTGGGAGAAATAGTAGAGGAGGAAGAGAAACAGAAATCTCAAAAACAGAACAATTGACGTGAGTTGCTTTCCTTAAAGCATGTCCACTGTGCATGGAACACCAAGGGAAGGACTGACCCAAGGTAAGTATCTATAATAATCCTTGCATTTGATATAGCGCTTTTCACGTCGGGAGGACGTCCCAAAGCGCTTCACAGAACACACTGTAAAGCGAATTGACCGTATATTTGTGGGCGAACGCGGCAGCCAATTGCGCACAGCAAATTCCCACAAACAGTCGTAGATTGAAAATGACCAATTTATTATTGTTTTTGGTTTTGGAGGGATTATTATTAGGTGTGTGGAGTAAGGAAACTTGCCCAAGGTTTCGCCCTCTGCCTGGAATTGAACTCAGGTCTCTCGCTTGCAAAGCGAGTGCTCTAACCACTGAGCTACAGGACTCCACAATTGATTATAATCTAATTGATTATAAACATACAAAAGAACACGGTAAATTTGTTCGCCAAATAGAAGCAGGGGCTTCGAGACTATGAAAACAATCTTCCTGAGGAGATTCAAAGGAAACGCCCACATTTCAGAATTAGGTTTTGTAGACTGAAAGCTGGTTTACTCAGAATCATAGAATCCCACAGCACAGAAGGAGACCATTCGGCCTATCGTGTCTGTGTCGGGTCTTTCAAGGAGCTATCTAGTTAAGCCCACTCCCTCGCTCTTTCCCCAGAGCCTTGCAAATTTTTTCTTTTCAAGTATATATTCATTTCCCTTTTCAAAGTTCTGGCTTTTCATTGCAAACACAGTAATCACAGTTCAGCTGCAATCTGTACCGGTGTGATATTGTATTGAAACTTTTCCATCATTCTGAGATGATTTGAATTAAACTTAATATAAACGGGCAATAATACTTCCTTTTGCTTGGGTGCTAAAGTCTAATTCTGTTCAATGTTCTTTCACATGTTATTTCCATTTTCATGCCTTGCATTAATCTCCTGTTCAAAGCCTTTGTTTCCTCCACGTATTATCCCACATTTGGGAGGGCAGACAAACAAGTTGCAGACTACTTCACACAAATCCCAGACTACGCTGTGGTTGCTAGAAGCTTACCTGGGGTAATGGTGCATTGGAGGCTGGAAGAGGGTTGGAAACCATGGGGCCAAATATATCAAGGTCGTCTTTCAGTGATGTACTTCCACTGGTATTGCCGTTAGCAACCGGCCCTTCAACGGGAGTATCTGAATGGAGGTAAAGAGGTGTAAGTGAATGTGCAATACAGAAACTGGTTTAGCCCAGGACATCAACTCAACTACATCACGTCAGTGGCGAGTACAGATCTATTATTTTTTGTCTTTATTTATTTATTTTAAATTAATTTTTTATTCAATTTAAACGTTAGAGAAAAATTATTTTGATTTATTTCATTTATCTTAAATGTTAGGGATTAGGATTAGCAGCCAGCCGGAAAATCCGCTTGTCAGACCGGATCTCCCCCCTCTTAGTCCGGAGGTTTAATGTACGAGGTGCCCACAAATCACTGTTACAAACAGTGATATGAGACTACAGAGGAGCTGAAACAAGCCATCAGTCACACATTTCACCTCCTCACTGACTCCATCCATGTTACGGAAGATGTGGCACTGAACATGGCGACAGATCATTATCTGCCATGAAAATGATGGCGCTCACTCACACCCATCCTCTGGACGTCTGAATACAGTTAAACACTTGTACTGAATACGATTAAGTACTTCTAAACACAATTGTCATCATTCTTTCACAGTGTTTCAGTTGTTGGTCTGTGTTGGGGGGGGGGGCGCTGGCAGGACTTTGTGGACACCTTGTACACAACAAAAACTCACAACGCAACTCATTTGAGAGCTCGCAACACATGCAATCATTTACACCACGGAGTTTACACACTGTACTGATTTTGTGCATGTGCCACCGCTTTGGAACAGGATCAAAGAAAGCGATTTTAACGAGTCGTTTCAAAGTTTGATGGGTTTGTCAGCCCAAGTACCTCAGCCATATTCCAAATTTAGTACATCTTAAACATCGAATCCAAATGAGTTACTTCGACAGACACAAGTGCATTAAAATCTAAACTGCATCACATTGCATTAAATCAGATATTGAAAGTAAAGACTTTATTTAGAGTAAGTTTGACTCCCAAGGCACGTCAGCTGGTAGTTTCTAGCAGAAGCTGGGAGTGAGGCAGCATCAATAATATTTGCAGGGGAGAAGCGTGGACAACAGTCATTCCAAATTTTATTTTACATAAGAGTTAAAATCATCTCAGCGAGAGCAGGGAATGGAATGCATTATTTCTGAAGATAAGATTTTGCTTCCGGGCTTGCTTTAATTCCAAAGGCCGATTTTTATATATAAAGACACACTAGCAAAGTTAACATTAGCATTCAGAGAGCTCTCCTGTCATACCGCAATAGGAGATACTTTTATAATACATTACTTCTTCATTACATGAACATGTCAATGCAGCAAAACAAGCCGTCGACACATTGGCAAACAAGGCGTTGAGCCGTCTCAAAGTGCTTCACAGAATATATTGTAAAGTGGATTGACTGTGTATTTTGTGGGCTTTCATCTTATCACTCATTATATAACCTTCAAAACCTTACTATAATCATGTCCTCAATTTCTCTGCTTTCCCTCACCTCTGCAACATTGCTAGTCTCCATCACTGTCTCTCCCCCAGATTGCTGAGACCCTCATTCATGCCTTCATAACCTCCTGGCTTGACTACTTGAATGCTCTCCTTGCCAAACACTGCAGCTCCTGTGCACCCAAGCACTAAACAATCCAGAACGCTGCAGACTGTGTCCTCTCACACCACGCTCCATAAGCCCGTCACCCCATTCCTTGTGGTCGGGGTAAGATGGAGCAGAGGTAGAGAGGGGTGAGGCCATGTAAAGAACAGAGTGCAAGGACAGGATCTCGATGAATCTGATCCACTGGGGGATGGGGAGACAAGCGAGAATGGGGATGACAGGCTCAAGTAGCCTGGCGCAAGAGAGGACATGAGCTGCAAAGTTCTGGATGATCTGTAGCTTGTGCAGTGAAGAGATCGGGAGTCCAGCAAACAGAGCATTGAAATAGTCTAGTAGTTTACGTGCAGATTGGACAGAACCACAATTTGGCTACCCTCAAGGATACATTCGGGGTCTGCTGCTAAAGATGCACCACTTGGCATACAGAATATGCTGTAAAGTGAATTGACCGTATATATGGGCAAAACGCGGCAGCCAATTGCGCACAGCAGTGTCCCACAAACAGTCGTGGATTGAAAAGACCAATTTATTATTGTTTTTTTGGAGGGATTATTATCAGGCTTGTGGAGTAAGGAAACTTGCCCAAGGTTTCGCCCTACATGGAATTAAACCCAGGTGTCTCGCTTGCAAGGCGAATGCTCTACCCACTGAGCTACAGGACTCCACCCTACTTGGCTTTGGCTACTAAACGTGGTAGTCATTTGCAAGGTACAAGAAAGGAGCAATGATTTTTTAGGGGTCAGCTGGAAACCCATCACAGTGCTTAAGAGTATCCAAACCAAACTGAGAATTCCATGTATTCCACCTACACATGAAAATTTCAGAGATAGATTGTTGCAATAGAATGACCAATAAATCACTTAACAACTGATGAACTATTATTCCATCAAATATTTAACACAATTCTAGCGACTTATAAATAACATTCTCTTTTTAAAAACAAGGTTTCAGGTATACCAAAATCTACGCTAACTAAGACATTAGAAGCGGGGAGACTTCTGTTATGTGTAAATGAACTGCTTTAATCCACAGGCACTTTGATGAATCACAAATTGCAGAATTGATGTACGAGAGATATCAGAGTTTCAGTCAAAACACTGCTACAGTGGATTGTGGACATTTGGTGAGATTTATGAACGGAAACCAGAGTACAACAAAGAAAAGAATTTAATGAACATCATTCTTCCATTTATCTGATTGATGCCTCCGTGAAGCAGAAAAGGGATACATGTTCAATGGTTTCTCATTGTCTTGTGTCTGCCAATAATTTTAATGGCTTTCAATTTTAATTTCCTCCATTTATCTTAATCTATCCATCTCCAACAGTTTCATTACTTCTCCAAACACGAGAACGCTTCTCTCACTCCAGATGTTCGTACAATCTTATTATTCAAAAAAAATGCAGTCGCTGAGTCTTTGGCCATTCCTCTTGTGTCTCTGCAATTGTAACTTGCAAAGATACTTGACTCATTAACACCATTTATCTTACTTAGAAAAAAGACTAGAGATTTTATTACTTGCCATCCCACAGAATTAGGCTTTTTTAAAAAAAACTTGAAACTAACTGATTCCTATGTTGCAGAACTGAATGCAATTATCAAAACTGCACAGTAAACAGAGGAACCAGTAAAGGGCTATGATTCTGGCTGTCTAAGTCTTCTGTAAATTACCCTCAGCGGTTCACCTACAGTCACTACACTTTACAATATATCCTGTGAGGGCTTTCAGGTGCTATATCAAATACAAGGATTATTTTAATATTATCCATTCATTTATACACCTCTATGAGGGCCTCTCTGAGTCATCTCTTTCAAGATTGAAGAGTCTTAGCTTGTCTACTCGTTGCTCTTTCATCTAACAATGCGGATCATCCTTGCTGCCTCGCTCTGCATTGCCTCAATGGCCTTTACACGTCCCTTGAGGAACACTGCAGTGAACAAATAGACTGTCCCATTTATCGACAACTACACAGGAACTGCACTTAATAGTAATTAAGTGTTTTGAGTTGTTTTGATATAAGATGGTTAAATACAAGGATTACACTTTCAATATCACAACTTCTGTCTGTAGCACTTTTGGGCATTCAAAGTAACAAAGCACGGCATCTTGACTCCTGTAGCTCAGTGGTTAGAGCACTCGCCTCGCAAGAAAGAAACATGGTTCGATTCCCAGCAGGGCGAAATATTGGGCAAGTTTCATTATTCCACACGCCTCTGTTTATCTAACAGTAAGTAGGAATCCAGTTGTAGTCGACTGGCGGATTGCTTTTCCAGGGGGCAATAATTCCTTCACAATAAATAAGAATAAATTGGTCACTTCAATCCACGACTGTTTGTGGGGACACTGCTGTGCACAATTGGCTGCCACATTTCGTCCACAAAATCTACAGTCAATTCACTTTACAATAAAATCTGTGAAGCGCTTTGGGAGGTCTCAAAGACGTGATAAGGCGCTATATCAAATGCAAGGATTATTATCTTCAATCAAACGCAGAATGGCCAAAATAGTTTATTTCTACACAACAACTTGTTATTATATAGTGCCCCTCACACAGGACAGCGTCCCAGAGCACTTGACCGTAACGGAGCACAATGCCGAGTTGGGGGGTGGTGACCAGAGACACAGTCGAAGAGGAAGGTCTTCAGGTGGGACCTGAAGATGGGGAAGGAGGGGGCAAGTCGGAGGGATATAAGGGGAGTGTTCCAGAGTTTTGGGGTATAGTGGTTAAAAGCGCGGCTACCAATGGTGGAACGGAGGGCACGAGGGACATGCAGGAGGCTGGAGCCAGTCAAGCGGAGGCAGCAGGTAGTGGGTTGGAGAGTAAGAGGTCGGATTTGAAAACGAGTGTGAAACAAGGCTTATAGGACATGGAATTCCTTACTAAAATGGCAGTAGAAACAACATCCATAAGAGCTCGCAAACCCATAATATCCTCATTAATAACTTGCATTTATATTTAGGATCTTTAAAGTAAACTAAACATCTCAACGCTGCACAAAGTATAATTGATGAGGAATGAAGTGAATGTTGAATAGGCAAATGAGGCAGCTAATCTGTGCCAGGGACGTGCTATAAACAATGAGATGAGTACACAATTAATTTAAATTAGGGGGTGTATTTTAAATTACAAGGGGAATATTAGCCAGGAGAATGACGTACATTACTTTGAAATAGAAACAGTAGGACTCCTTTGAATTAATAACAGAACAGCTTCTCACAAACTGCCATATAGTGAATGATCAAGTTTATTTGGGGGACTGTTGGCCAGGACACTGAGAGAAACTCTCTTTTCTTTTCGAATACAGTAAAACTCACATTAATCGTACCTATATGAATCGTATAATTGCCACGTCGCATGTGCACCCGAGTCCCATTCAGTTTCCTATCAAAACCATGTAAGATTTGTTTGCGCTACTCGTATTGCATAAACAAATCATCTCCTAACT